CTGTCTTGCAGAATCACCTAACTTGGTGGCAGCCGTCTCTAAACGACATACATACAGAAAACTGCACTCGGTCATTTTGGTGTAGGGTTGTCACCATTTAGAAAGTTCAAAGCTTGCCATCTCAGATCATCACCACGCCACAACACATCAAAGAAAAGCACAAATCATCCTAAGAGTGATAGCCTCCAACCTGCAAGCGATGGCCTCCAACCCACAAGCGATGGCCTCCACTCTAGTAGCGATGGCTTCCACCCAGTGTTGTGCAAGCGAGGAACACATCTCAACGACTCCGTCTGCATGGTTGAACCGGATAGCCCCTGTCGAGGTTTTCAAATGAAGTGAGACTGGCTGAATCTACTTTGGCCTGAAAGGTATCAAGGCCCTCAACGGACACACAACATGGAAATGTAAGCCATACCAGGTCGAGCTTTGCTAGTGATGTTCCGACCTTCAGCAATGATACCTGCATAGATACGCACACTCTGCAGTAGCCCAGCGAGGCCTTTTACCAACGCTGTAGGAAGGTGCTCTTACAGGTCAGGCCTCCACTAACATCCCACTTCTCCCACCACCTTTCTCTGTACTGAGCCATGTCCTGTCCAGCCAAAGAACACATTATACAGAATCAAACACATTGAGTATGTTTGTGTATGATCACATAGATCAACTATGACTATGACTCTATGGTCGTTTTGACAAACACCAGCTAAATCCAATCAATCGTTCCCCGGTCCTTGGCTTCATCACGCCAACCTCAATCAAGTCGCTGGAAAGCACAGGATCATCTTACTGGCACTTAAAAACATGCATGTACTGCTCTTTATGTTTTCACTCCAAAATCATCCAAAATCCAACAATTTGGCCTCGCTGTTTGAATCAACTTCCACACGTGCACGTGCATTGAGTACACAACAGACTTCAAATCCAAGCAACACAGTCGACTCCAATGCTTGAAATGCCATTTTCCACCCACGTGGCCCTCGAAGCCACTCTGAGTGTTCCTGCCAAACCTCAGTGAAACAAAACTCAACAAAGAAAAGCCGTTGGCATTTGGCATGACCTGGTTCGCAGAAGTGAAAGCGAACAAAGATGCATGCAAATGTCTGACTGACAGCAGTAGGTGTTCCTGAATACTTGCCCTGAAACATTCACAGCAGGCATGTTGTCTCTACCGACAGGTAGGTTGACAATCTGCGGCCAATTATACAATATATATATATAACTGTTATTAACTGTTATACATTATACACATGTATAATATATACATTCATACACATAAAGTAATACAATATAATACAATATAGGTTAATGAAACATAGTATACAAAAAAAGATATTATTGGACGATAAATATTCGTTGAACGGTGAATATTATAAGCGTCACAAGCTGGTTGTCTTGTCCAACTAGTGTGGCCTCCTCGTGCGACGCTCGCTAGCGCCGTCTGGGAGCCACACAACGACTGAGGTTTTCATGCGCCAGGGAGCTCAGCACAAATCATACAGCCATCCATTCCGATATTCTTAGCTTCCAAGAAGTTGGCCACCAGTCCAGCACGAGTTCCCATGGTCCTGTTCCAGTTCTCCTGGTGTCAAGCCCAACGCTTCGAGGAATCTGATGCTTGGAGCTGGCAGCTTGACGTGCCCCAAGAAAACATGAAACGAAGGGCAGCACACTTGCAAGCGACAAAAGTAGCTCTCAATTTGGATTTCAAGACCCTTCGCCCATAGCATACCATGCTTGTTTGCCTTTGCCGCTGGTAATCAGTGCATGTATATAATATAGGCGAAATGGTTTTGTCTCGGCCCATGCTGTGGACGCTACACCGTGTCCTGGCTGGACATGTGAGGCCAAATACTCCAATCGCCTTGGGAGGCTGTTGGAGTGGAGACTTCTCCGCAAATCCGAATCCACTGACCCACCTGGCAAAGCACGGTAGATGGTCAAGATGCAATCTGACTCTTAGTCAAAGGCCGAACATATGACAAAAGCATGAACATCCATACCACCGACTGCCAGGTTCTGCGCTGCTTCAACTTCACTAGCAATGACTGCGGACTCTTTTACGGCCAGTGTGCTCGGTGCCGTGGGCCTCCCCCAGATGGGCCGGCTCCGGAAGCTGGGCTTGAGGCTGTGCCATCACGATCGCCATGGTTTCGCTGAGGCGCAATGGGGCGGTGGACAGCAATTGTTGGCGGAAAAAGCGGCTCCAGAGCGATGTTTCTTGGGATTGATGTTCTGTTCCTTGCTCCTGGCATTCTGAAGCCACTTGTTTGGCAAATGCCTTGAAAACCCGGAAAGATCACAACTCACTGCTCGCCGCGCAGCGATCGAGCCCTGGAGAGCCCAATTGCGACTGAGCTTGATGTTGGGAGCAATCACGACTCATTGGTCCGAACCTACTATGCAAGAATGGTTTCTTTATTCACTGTTTGACTCCACATCAGGCCAGGCTGAATTCCTGGCGTGCTCAGGGACCCTACAACTGAACTCAACATCTTTGCCCTCAAAGCATGTGTTGAAGATTTAACCTTCATCATCTCATGCAATCTCGTATTATGATCACAATGTTTGACGTCACTCGCCGGGAAAATCTGGGACGTATATCCAAGTTGACCAACAATTCTGCAACATGTTGAAAGTTGCCCGCCTGAGAAGCAAGCAATCGTGCTGCTCTTACTCAGGATCCGAGTGTGGTCTGCGTCATCAACAAAGAGAGTGTTCAGCAATGTAAAAGCAGTAGCACATGGTCTCGCAACATAAGTTTTGCTTGCATTTGTCTGTCTAGCTCTTTGCAAGCTGGGCTCTTTCATGTTCCTTTCCATGCGTCCATCTCTTGTGCTATGCAAATGCTTGCCCAAGAAATGCTGCTTGGAATACAAGTGTGGGGTCCACGTCTCATGAATGCCTTGAGCATTCATACGACACCGAGCAGTTTTGTGATTAAGACACACTTTGAGTTGAGTTGGACATTGAAAGGGTGGCTTTTTGAAGAGAGGTTGTCCCGCCTGCACCCAAACAAACACATTTTTTTTTGAATCATAATCTATATATATATAGAGTTGAATCTACACGAAAAGCAAACAGTGGCTTTTATATATCTAACATGCATTGTCCTGCTACATGAAGACAAAGGTCTGTAGTTGTCTCTTGGGAGGTGGCACTCAAAAAGCAAGATGACGCACACAAGATAGCACCTGCTGCATCCTGTTGCAATGCATTGCCTCTACAACTTCGGACGCATCAAGAACAGTCCACCATGCCATAGGTTGGACGGCTTCTTCTGCACATTTAGGGACCCTCCATTGCCCCGCATAAGGTCAGCCCATTTTAACCTGCATTATGCCGCGCGGTTGCGGCGTCGAGGCCTGGAAAGACCGAAGAACAGGACGTTTTCTGGGCCGAGTCGAAAGGACGAGTTTTCCAGGCTCCGATCGAAGCGTGGAGAACTTTGTGGTTGTTCGATGATCTTCGTGTAGCTACCTTGATCGAGTATCTGTGCAATAGATTCAACTGATAAAATAGCATCTATTAATTAGCTGAAGGTCTAAAACTCTGAACTTCATGCCAAAGGTACTACTAGAGCACTGGCAACTTTTTCAATTAGATCGGTTGGCATCGACTTTAGTTGTTAGGCTGAATGATGCTGAATGACTGGTGCATCGGTTGGAGATCCTTTCAGATCCTTTCAGCTCTTCCAGCCTGTTCTCAAGCTTTGCTTCAGCCGAACTCCAGCCCTGCAGCATCCAGGCAAGCTTTTGTGCCTCATGGCAGTACATACCGGGTTCGGAAGTTCGGTATGTCAGGTTTTTTTAATTCTAATAGCTTCTTTGTTACTACTAGTAAGGCACCTGTTACTACTAGCGTGGCACTTGTTACTAGTAGTAACAAAGAAGCTAATAACGTCTTGATGTGCATCTCTCTTGTCCTTCGAAACATTGGAATCACCGGACCAGAAAGCTTTGGCGCTATTTGACTCGATTGTGTCGTGGCAAGCCGACTAGGCTAAGTCTGGCCCCAAAGCCCATTCTGTGAAGCGTGTAAAGCGCCTCTGAGTTAGCACTTCCAGATTCTACATTAAACATTCCCATTGCCCTCCAACCGTTTCTAAGATGGACACCTATACAATCTGTGGGTTCTCAGCAAGGTGCAACACAAACAAGTTCTACACCCAAAGCCTACTACCACCACCACCACCACCACTACTACTAGTACACACACACACAAACTTATCATGACCTCGCAAAACCGCCATTGTGCCATGTGTTTGCAACTCCTGTTCCACTGGCCCTGACCCATCGCCTGGCTTGCCGCAGCACTGGGCGCAGCTAGCTGCGCCTTTGCCAATGCAGCTCGAGCACGGCAGACCTGATGTGGCCAGGTGAGGAATCGAAAGCGAAGCCGTGGATCCAAACTCGCGAGGCTTCAACGATTTGGAGAGTTCTTGATAGCCATAGTCCTTCCAGTTTGGGAACCCGGTGGAAGAAGGACGACCCTTGTCTGTGTTTGGGACCAAGAAGCTCCCACGAGTTGGCACATCTTGATGACAGGTGCATGGATCAGTGGAACTTGGATCTCAGCAAACAACTAGCCCCAAAGGGGCCCCAAACATGCTCAAAGCACTTCTAAGTGTTCTTTTGATCTTTTCCCGCACCAAATACCTCGCTCCTGCCACTCTTTTCGAGCTCCGCGTGCCGCGCATCGTCCCAGGTCTCGAAGCAGGTGCGCCGCGTCCAGGCACGGCAGAAGAAGCGGCCGGGCGCCTGGGCCAGCTGCGGGTGCATCATGCGGCAAACCAACACCCAGCGGTCCTGGTAGCGACGGTGACAGCTGCGAGGAAGTCCAACTCACATGAAATTCCTACAAGGGGAGCGAAACGGAAGCACCTTGAAGAACAAACAGGGATTGTCGAAGTTGTGAACCAGCCACTTGACAAGTCTTGACAGGTGTTGGAGGCTCGAGCCAGACAACTGCAAACATATGATCAGGTGGAGATGAGGTCCTCATAGCAGCCCCTGGTCTTGAAGTAATTGTGGTCCGTTTTGATTTTCACCTCACTTCCCATTGCAATACCCAACATCCTTCTCAAAAGGACTCCAAGATTGGCCCAATTTTGCCCACGGCAAACGGTTCATCTTGGTTTCGAACTGCAACCAAACTGGATCTCCTCAGGCCCATCATGCCAGACTCGATGATCCGATCCATCATCGAAGGCGACAACACGGCCATCTCGGAAGGGACGCACCTCTCCGCCAAAAGGACACAAATACAGCGCTTTCTTTCATATGTAGCTGATGTTTTAGCTCAGCCGCTTCTTACGGTGCCAGGGTCAATTTATTCTGAACGGACATGCCTCCCAATCCTCCCATGGTGTCCAAATAATGTCAAAGTAGTTATGCTTGTACAAGGACACTGTTTGTGTAAAAACAGTGCATGTTTGTGTCATGTCGGTCTGTTTGTATCCGGCATTTTTGGTGAAGCTGACATCGAAATAATGGCAATGTTCTGAGTTGTTCTGAGATCGAGGATTTCTGCAGGACACTCACAAATGTGTCTGCTCCACTGATGATGATCATGATGACGATGACGATGACGATGACGATGATGACGGACGATGTTGCTGCTGTTGTTGTTGGCAAGTCAATCAAAAGGACGTCTCATCCAAATGCCCAACCTCACCAGCAACCTCAAGAAAGGCACCAGCGCTTCCAGTCAAACCCAGGGACAGGTTGATGGGCGCATTGCTGCCACCATTGTGCAAGCGCACCTTGCTACCTGGAGTAAGAAGAAACAACACCACCTCCTGCGAACGCCGGATTGACCATTGAGCATGTGCATGTTGGTGCAAAATGCAATGGCTCACTCAATTTTGCGCACATTGTACACTCCCCGTCCTCAGTATTGTAGTGAATGTACGGCACGTCTGCCGTTGGCAAATGCTTCTGCAGAAACCGGCTCGTGCGAGGCATCAACTCACAAGCATCTGCATTCCTTGGAAGATTCTTGCCAACATGGATGCAAACCCCTTTGCAGGCAACCCTTTCCTTTGCCTGCAAACCTTCCAGTGCGAACGAGATGCCATGTCCGTGAGCTGTAGAGTTGAATCATATCCCAAGCGCCTTGAGATGTCTCCACCAGATTCCTGAGCAAGACCAACTGTTAGAAGAGGAAGCTGTTGGCACAGTCAAGGTAGATAGGACAACTGCTACATGAGAAACGCCGGGTGTGTTTTCAGCGAAGGACTTGAAGGGTGAATCATGTTGAATCTAAAATCCTAAGTACCTCGCTGGTGTGTCAGAAATATTTCTCTACAATGAATACAACCTCAGAAGGCGTATCTTTATTCTTTTTTCCTCATGGCTCTTTGAGGCTAGTGATGTCTAGTGTCTGGACAGTTCGGTGACACACAGACTGGGAGGTCTCCATCAAGCCTTGCTTCGAAGAAGATGATATTGCGGGATGCTGGTTGCGATTGGGTTATGGATGACGCTGCCTTGTAATTACAAGGACTTTGAAACAACGGCTTATAATGGTCCACGTGCGTGAAAGTAACGCACATGATATATACAGTATATGCCTTCTCCAGCCGAATGTTTGGACTTTTGTGTTCTGTGCCAAGCATCGGATAGGCAGGAACAGAAGACCCCCAGGAGTCTTGCATCTCTTGAAGATCTTTCCTGTGGTAATGACAAGAGCTGGCATCTTGTCATCTTTGTTCATCGAACTGTTCTCCGCAGTTTTCTCTATCTTTGCTTTCCACAATTTTATCAACCTTCTTGCCTTTAGCTTGACACACTTTCATTCAGTTCTTGGCTTGCCATCTTCTCCTAGCTCGGTGCCTTACGTCTTCGTAGTTGTCCTCCAGGAGCTTGGCCAAAGGTGGCGGCTCATCCCAAAAGGCTTGGTGCTCCAAGCCCTGGATGTGCACCGCTGGGGTCTGCTCCAAGCAATGCCTCAAATCTTGCGAAGATGCTGTCCACAAAACGCGCGGCAAAGTCAACAGCCGGCCACCTGCCCGCCTGCATGAATCCCAGCACCGGCATCAGATTTATGATTTACCATGATTTACCCTACGTCGACTGGTCTTCGCCTTACCGTCAAGTTCCTCGGCTTTGGCAGTGCTGGGTTGCCTGATGGAACAGATCCCCACAAGCATTGCCATGAAAACCAAGCAGAATCACTTGTTTAAGACCTACAATATGATTCTTCGATCCTCACTTTCCCAATGCGATTGCGGTGCCACGATATGGCAGGCTTGCCATTCCACTTGAGGTCGGTTGCCTCCTGTGGAACATCCAACATCTGGGTGACTCGATGGGTGTGGGAATGGCGACCATGGATGAAGGTAAATACAACTCATATGACCGAATGACTCATAACTCAATAACCAACCTCAACTTATGAACAAAGCAACTCTAGTTCCCAACAACTGCGGAACCTGGAGTCAAAATCATGTTGGAGCAGTTCCTGAATCAAGCATGTCATATGGGACATATGACATATGCATGATTTTTTGCATCAGTCATACTGGAACGGTGCAGTCCTCAAACAGCTCTTTGGCTGCTTCTCTTTTGCCGCTGGCTTTAAGAATTGCCAGCGCATTTGCAAAGTGATATGGTGTTGCACGTTCTTCAAATTCGCTCCGGCTGGCAAACTCGTCCTCACTTTCCAGCGGCACGAACACTGATGAGAACACTCATTACCCTGCTCCGAACCTATTAGATGTAACATATCTTTGCAAGCAACATGCACTTGTTTAAACTCTCTGATGTACAAGCTGGCTAGCAAGACACGGGAAAACATTCACATTCAAAAAAAGGCTGGTGATTGAGCCGAATGTCCATGCACTCTTGGTGCAAAGCAATCTTTCTCATGAACCGAGCAGAAAGCTCTGGAAGGCTGTAAAAAAGCTTTGGCCCCACAGCCATCGTCAAAACGTGGTGCAAGTACTGGGGATCCTCCAGAGTGAAACGAATGATAAAGCTGCAACAACCCTTTGCTTGTCCAACATCTGCAGTCATCCCAATTTCACAAGCCAGTGTCATAAAAGTCCAAGACTGCCTTCCATCTGTCACGAATCGGGGAACATGTCTTGATCAGTCTTGATCCCTTTGTTTCAGTCTCACCCCTGCCAGGTCACTCATAGTTCCCTGATGACTCATTCGTCATCACCCCTGGCCTGGCCTCCGAATTTTGAAGCACTTTCTCCAAGTGCCATTCTGCCTCCTCCAGTCGCCGTCGGTCGGCACTTGCACGGCAGTGGAGGGCCGCGACTGCCACGTGGCTCTGGAGGTCGTTGGGATTCCAGCGCAACCGCCGCGTCAGGAGCGCCAAACGCAGATCATCCCCAGTACGGCGAATCAAACCGAGGAAAGCAGACATGAGGCTCAAGAGCGCTCAAGGACGTTGTAAGGTTTGGCTGTTTTTGTATACTGCTACGAAATGTCCAAGCTAGCAGCATGAAACAAGGATTGTCCAAACAAGTCTACCCAAAGCATCTGTTCAGCAACCAAGGCATCTCAGTCAATGGGGATGGAGGTGCAGGTCATAGTGTGGAGTGAACGACGATGGGTTTTGAGACAAATCTTGATCTGAGATGAGGTCTGTCACAGTCTGGCCATCAACCACGAAGCTTCGTTGCAGAACCCGCTGCAAGGCTTGGGTGGATTCGAACAGATTGTCTGGCCGAGAGGCATGGATTCGGTTTGTCATCTCCTCCATCCGCCGGCGATCGTCTTCCCTGCAAGAGATCATTGAGTGGATTCCGTTGGATGCATTCAAGCATCTATAATGTTGGATCTTGGACTGTAACCCTGCCCTCTCTAGCATTCCACTGAGGGAGCATGAATAGAGGCAACCTCACCAAAAGTATATTATCCAACATGTGGTAGTCATAGTTCATAAACATTATAGTCGTCATAGAGTCATAGTCATTTTCCCAGTCGCAGTCGCAGTCGTGGTCGTCGTCATCGTAGTAGTTGTTGTTGTTGTTGTGGTTGTAGTAGGAGTAGCTACTACTAGTAGAAGTAGAAGTAGAAGTACTGTAGAAGTAGAAGTAGAAGTAGTAGTAGTAGCAGTAGCAGCAGCAGGAGTAGTAGTGATAGTAGGAGTAGGAGTAGGAGTGTAGTAGTAGTAGGAGTAGGAGTAGCAGTAGCAGTAGTGTAGTGTTAACTACCCAGGATTTTGGGTGCTCAGTCACTTTCGTGCGCTCACCTAGCAGTTCAACCGTAGAAAATTAAGTTTATATAGATTAAGCAAGGACCTTAAAGGGCAGCAATAGCAAAACAACAGAAAATGAAGCCAAGATATTTTCCCCGGGCTCCGAGTCCGCATTACTCCCACTCCCTCAACAATTTACATAATTCACTTCCCTGGGCTTGTGTACTACACCCTTGAAAATTATTTGGAGCAATGATTTCGAATAGCATCTTTTAACTGATGGCTTTGAAACAAGGTTTTCAGGTCAGAGTTTCAGGAATCAAGTAAAACATCAGAAGAGGTTAAACAAGGATCTTCAAGGGAAGCAATAGCTGATGGTTTTAGGTGAATGCTTCGGTGTTGGTGATGGATCTGGTGGTGGAATAAATCAATAAACAAACCTGGTTGTTACAGTAAAAGAACACCCTGGGTAAAAAAGCTTCCACTATTCCGACCCCAACAAATTATTCAGGGTTGGGAATAGTTTCAGGAACACATTTTATTCCACCCCTCTTTATAGTTTGGGATGCAACTTCACTGTCTCTCATCTAGTTATATACCGTAAATGACAATGACCACTCAGTTTCAACTAAAACACGCTATCAATCCCTATCACCCATCACACGCTAATTGAGCCACAAGCATGATCGAGCCCCAGTCGTCACAACTCCATCATTCAGCCTCAGCACATCCATCATGTGGTGGAGCTTTCTTTGGCTCGCCACACCCTGCAAAGGGCGTGGCATAACGTTAGAAGTCGGAGTAGCCAAGGGGGCCAAGCATCTGATGGGCCGGTGCATTTACCGTAGCATGTATGTCTACATATAAAGAAATTCTGTATTTATAGCTTCTTGCTTGAAGTTCTTCAATGTTCTTCAGGGAAATTGCAGTTGCTCACCATTTTTGCAGGCCTTCGGCAGCTTTGGCTCGAAGAAAGAAGGTGTTCTCCTGATGCTGTGGTGTCTGCTTTGCAAAAAAACACTGTTGCAATCAATCTGAAGCAAACACATAGTCGCAAGAGCCGGTTGTGCTACTTGCTTGGGTTGTGCGTGCTGATGCGCTATAACACATCTGCAATGGACAACTCAACCCCGTACCCAAAATGACCTATTCCATGAGCTTCAACCCTCTTCTCGTTGGATCTCCTTGATGTTTCGCTGAGGTCATTTTCCGTGAAGAGATCCTGCAAGCCGCTTGCATCCTGATATGGTGATCGCTGGAGCCTGCCGAGCGTCCAGGCGTGATATTTGATGGTGACCTTTGGATCAAATTCGATCAAATGATTGTGGCTCAACACTGGGCAAGAGTTTCCAGCGGTGGAACACATATCTCCCTCACAAAGGACATCATGTGAACCATGAAGGTGCAAGATAGACCTCCTGAATTCCACACAGCCTATCCGAAACCACACAAAGCTGTGGCCCTCCATTGTGACCTCAAAGAGGATGCCCTTCCTCATTGATCTACAATGATCCAATACATGAGAGTGTACAATATATCTGCATATAGAGTAGATATTGGCCAGGCATAGCCGCCTTGCAATCGATCAATCGATCAACATCAATCAGTCACACTCGCTGTGTTCAACTGCGCTCTGCACCCGAACCATGCGGTATTCACTTGGCCTGTATTCCAAAGCGTCATTCGGCTCGTTGGGACGTGGTGTCCGTGGTGCTGACCGGGGCCGGCGACGCCGTGCAACGCCTGGGAGAGGCAACCTAGTAGCGTCCTCTTGTTGCTAGTAAGGCCAGGAGCCCCTAGTAGCATCCGTGCTCCTAGTAGCGATGCCAGGAGCCCCTAGTAGCTTCTTGTTCCTAGTAATTAGTAAGGCAAGTTAGCAGTTTCAATTGGACGACTCAAAAAGAACACTGATTTGCATTGTCATGCATGGTCTGCACTTGACTGGCTTGGGTGCTTGGTGCTGCTGTCGCAGAATGCTCTGGAGGAGGCTCACAGCAATAACGCGCCTCGGCGCTCGGGATTTCACTGACGTAACAGTCTTGGGTCCCTTTGAAAAAATATATGTATATATGTTTCTTTTCGCACAGGCAAAAGCAAAGGCTCTGCTTTCAATATGTCGCCAAGGTGCACGGATTTCAAGGACCCGTTCAGGTTCCTGCGAGGCAAATGCAGTCAAACAAAAAGTACCGTGAATGATGCAAACATAGACCTACTTGTAGACAAACGCAAGCCCCAGTGGGATGAGTGTGTTGATGTCTGCAAAGTGTGCCAAAACAGCGTAAAGCTTGCGCTCTTAAAGCAAAAAACAACCAGCAAGCAAACATGGCAATGATATAGTTCCATAGTCATGCAGCTGAACCGACATGTTACATTCTGAGCGGTATTCAATTTAAGAGTCCGAGAAGTGGCGTCTGTGGTCTCCCACGATCACTACTGTTTGGAACACGACACCGAGAGGTTCTGGACGCTGACAAAACACGACAAAGAGTCTTCGTACAGTTCCCTCTTCTAGTAATTCTAGTACTATATAATTATGGCAGAATACCACTGAAGCAATTAGCAAACAATAAGCTACTAGGGGCTCCTGGCCTTACTACTGGAGCAAGGACCCTACTAGGGGCTCCTGGCATCGCTACTAGTAGCAAGAAGCTACTAGCAAAGGTCGTCTCATCTTCAGAGAGATCGTGACTCCCTGAAGGTCGTGCACGAATTGCAAAGGACCCTCGGTCGGGACTCATCGCCTTTCCGACGATGGTCGTTCGGCCGCTTGGATCCCAGCCTCTTCGCCTTTCGCGTCCACCTGTAGGCCTTCACAGGTTTTGTGGTGGAAGAGTGCCGCAAAATATGAAAAAAAAGAAAAGAAAAGACAAGCCAGAACGAATAGCGATCGCCTCCAACCTACTATACTTCAGCTAGATTTGATACGCATCAACTATGAAGCAAATCATTCAGCCTTCCTGCCTTTGGAGTTCAAAACGGGCGCGAAAAGCAAAGACTCGCAGTCCTTACAGATCTCATCCTGGTGCCTGCTGAAGAAGAGAAGAACAACACAACAGAAGGGTGCTGACAAAGCAAAACATGAAATGTGGTGAAGCAACGGAATATCCGGGACTCTTCTCTGAACCCACTCAGTTCTTTCTTGTTCTCCAATCACCCCTGTTGTTCACATCTGAGAGCGCTTTGACTTGATTGAAGTGACGGTTCACGTGAAAGCAAAGAACTCATGCTTTTCGGACTCTTCTGCCAAAAGAGAATATTCCTTTATATACATATACTTTGACATTCTGGCTGAAGAACCACGGAAACCAAAACGATCGACCACCTGGACAGTAGACAGTGCGAAGCCGCTCTGTAAATAAATGCAAATACACTGACATCATCCATCAGTAGCCGACATTCAAATCTTTAGTTTGGGGCCAAACATAGATGCATTGTGGAGGCATCACACTTCAGCCCACGCAACCCACATAGGGCACACTCGCTTCCAAAGTTATCACAGGGTTCTTCTTGGGCCAGAACCATCACAATCTACCTCCTGGCCTCTGCGAGAGCAATAGAGTACTTGTAAGCAGTTCGAGACAAATTATATATATATATAGTCATATAGTCATGTTCCTGTTTCTGCACGTGCCTTCTCAAAGTTTCGATGGCGACCTCCTCCTCTATTGATGACAACTTTGGCTCATGCTGCCTCATTTCACCTCCTGCGAAGGGAGTGAATCATTGGGCACTTGAAGGTGTGTGCAGGTGATCCGCAATGATGTTTGTCACCCATGAATACAGCTACTAGTAACACGTGCATCGCTACTAGTAGCAAGAAGCTAGTAGGTTGGAGGCCATCGCTATTCGGTTGGAGGCCATTACTACTAGTAGCAAGAAGCTACTAGTAACAAAGGCATCGCTACTAGTGACGTTGCACAGCAAACCATTGACTTGCCATCCACAAAACAAGTCACACCGAGGCACAGGGCTCTATAGGTTAGTGCGATGCCGCTGCCCGTTTCTACACGGATTAGGATGGCCACAGTTTTTCACCACTAAAGACATTCTTGTACTTGAAGAAGTAACTCGCAAAACAAGTCATACGGATGCCCCACTTAGCTGTCTACTCAAATCAAAAGGTGTATTCAGTATTCCGAACTTTTTGCAGCCTTTCCATCCACCATGGCTACTTGCCTCCATGATTTGGGTCTTGGATCGCCACGGACTCCTGACCAACCTCACTGAGGGCTTTCACTCAGCTACACATGGATGACGCAAGCGCCGATTGCTACGACGATACGCCATGGAAGGCTGATGGTCGTGGTTGAAATAGCTCATGGTGTGTCGTCAGGTGGTGTGTCGTCCCATGGACATGTAAAGTCCAACGTCCCAGCTTTCCTCTCTCCAAGAAACCAGCGGCGGATGAAAGTGACATCGATTCAGCTCAAGACCTGGGCCAGGTGAGGATGGGTCAGTCACATCATTCTTGCGTTCACTAGCAACCCCGTTCTCCTTTTGATGAGCCACCAGGGCTATTAAGCAATACAGGAAAACCAGGAGAAAACAGTTCACGGGCACGGAACGCCGACAGCCGAGCAGCCACAAAAAGTCATTTGGCAAAGGTTGCATTGAAACCGCTGCAGCCTTGCGAGAGGCCAAGCTACATTCTGTTTAGGCACCTGAATCTGACTGGTGACCAAGACTTCCGCAAATAGACTATTCACTACGTTGGAGCAGAAGCATGAACATTCCTTGTCGCCGCTTGCCAAACACTCAACGCCAAAGTCCCTCTATATACTGAGTTACTCCCGGACCTATACTATCTATACTTGTCGTACTTTGCTTGTTATTGATTTCATGAGCACCAACCCAGTCTCAACACTGGACACAGGATTACATGATCACATTGTAGATTTCTGCTGAATCACAAAATCATGCTGAACCAACCAACATCCGCGCGACTGCCTGGCCCATGTCTTCCAGAAGAGTTGCGGCCATGAATGGCGTTCACGAAGGTGATGTAGGAATTCACCCACATCCCAAGTTGCATCTGCCACAGTTGCAAGTGATTTTCAACTGATTTTCCAACAGGTACACAGGTCGATAGCTGTCACTTATTGGCCTTTGATGGTCTTTGGATGTCTTTGGTGCAGTGGCATCAGCATCGTCATTCCACATAGTCTCTCCCTCTATATGTCCCTTCGGGTGTTTACCTGACCTCTGTTGCCAATGGCGTTTTGCCTTATACTCTCAAAACTATTGCGGTGCTTTGCATTAATCAGAACAGTTGAAGTAGCTGCAGCCTGCACTGTGCTGCAACAATGCTGGCACTGACTTCGTTGTTGAAAGCTCCATGCCTGAGCAATCTTTTCGGTAAACAAAGCTACATCAATTCTGCACACCCAAATGACCCATTTACCAAGCATTTCAATACCAGTAAATGTTCAATGTTCATGCAAAAGCAGGGGCAAAAAGTTGTGTGATTAATGATTAATGAACCTTCAAACTCCCCAGTCAGTGTTCACAACCTCATTGTGGCGGCTCTCAACAAATCTGCTGGGATTCTCCCGCCTGTAGTCTCTGCACAGTGCTGGTAAAGGCACTCGTCTGCAGTGAAGAGCCTTTGGCAACGGCTGCAGCAAAACAGCCTCGGGTTCAAAAGGGCAGCAAAACCAACTCTCTGATCTGTCTCAAGGTCCCTTTTCCCCTTGCCATTGCGTTTGTCAGTTCGCGAAAGGAACAGTGGTTTCTTGTAGTCATGCTGCCCTTGCCGGAAATACTAGCTACACAGTGCAAAACTCTATCAACAACTTAGTGCACAAATGGGCACAAGTTGTAACTGCTGTTGAGTGCTGACAAACCCCATTGAATGCTGCAAAATTGGAAGTTAGTATATGATGTGTCTATATATTTGTATATGACATATTCGGTCAAAAGTCAAGTGAACATATCATTTCTTTGGGCTGGCCATGGCTGGCCTGTCATCGACTGATCCGAATTCATCCATACCATCAAAGCCACACGTTCTGCTCCAGCGAGAGAAGTGCCAGTAGCTTGTGGGCATATAGACGGCTCAAAAGACGATCATGGTCATCCTGGCCAGGTTGACAAGAGACGGTCAGTTCCAGGATCTGTTCCAGGTGAATAGAACTGGATGTCTTTTTCATTTCCTCAGATTTTACTGATGTTCTCAAAGTGTTGCGATGGTATGGGACACCCTGGGACAGCAGGTTGTCAGTTTTGAGACCAAAGTTCACACAAAGAAGGCTCATCAAGCATCCTTTTGACTCACAGAAGGGCCACCGCTGTATCCTCCTGAGGCTGTGCTATCTCACGCAAGTAGACAACTTTCACTTCTGCCTCGGGCATAGACTTCTGAAGCTCAACGGTGGCATCTGCGACTGCCTTCTCTGCCGCTTCTGAATCGACCTTTATGACTTCAAAGTAGGTGTCTTTGGGAAAAAGAACTTCAAGCTCATTCTTCCTCGCACTGAGCTTTGCAATGCTTCGACCGCTAAAGGACTCCTGAATCACCAGAAGTGACCGCTTCGCTGACCTTCCCTGGTTGGCTTGTGTGGCAAACTTCACGGCACTGTCCATATCAAAGGAAACGCTTGTGAAGCCTGGCAATAGAATCACCGATCCAGTTGCTAGTGCAACTTCCCTTCGATGACCACGATACAATGGGCCTGAAGATGTTGCAGGCAGTTTCTGCAAGGCGCTGTTCAAGACATAAATGTATGGCATCACCTCTGCCCGATGAAGCCTACAAAGGGTCTTCACTCCTGCTGGGTAGTCGTCAAACTCCACCTCCTCCTGACCTCTGGCAATCGGATTGATCAAACGAAAGTCTCCCGTGGTCCATCCCATCACTGCCGCAACTTCATGCTCTGAAAGGCCCATGTGCCGTCCAACCTCCATCACAGATGGGAAACCGGAGTTCTCCGCACGAGATTTGTTCTGTTCAAAGACGAAACTGGCGCCAACATCCCTTTCACAATGCTTCCACTTGTCCAAGACTTCAAAGCCACGCTCATACGCCTCTGCTTCGGACACTCTGGGTGAAGCTTCGGCGATCATGGCAAACCAAAAGCGGGAGTCAGTATGATGTGCAAGGTAGGTTCATGATGGTTCATGTGTTTCTGTCTTGGGGTCGCACATTCCATCTGGATACACCTGGTATTGTCTTGTCACCTTTACTAACAGCTGCCATTGAGCAAAGGGTTCAGGTGTGACAAACACAACTCACATTCAAGTGCATGCCGGCTTTGTACTAAAAACTGGGATGCAAACATTAAGCCCAAGGTTTTGGCCTGTCACACATTTCCATGCCTGTAGCTTCTCCAGTTCTGCCACTTTCACCTGCGAGGCCAGGCTCGCCACCAAGCGTTCTGGCAAGCAGCCTGGGATCGCAATGGAGCATGCCTCCAACACATCTGCAGAATCTGCAGGTCATTGAACCCTGCAAAAGTACTGTAAGTTTAAGCAGGCTTAAGTCAATTCGGGGATGTAACACCGGAGGCATTAAATGGGTTCGGTCTTGATGGTGACTTTTAGCCTGACATGGTTGGTATATGTTGGGTGTGATAAACACATGGGAGTTGATCTAAATTCCTTTATCCGGGATCCGTCATTTTCGCCCCAAAAACTTTACTTTAGCCAAACTTTCGCCTTCCTGCGTTTATGTTGTATTACTGTGTGCCATGTATGTTGTGTTTTGTTCACGTCAATGGTTTCTTCTTTACTGGCAAACACAAAATAGAAACTTCACTGTTTGTCAGCATGTGTCTTCTACTTAAGTGTTGACGCCCTGTACGTCTCTTTTGTTTCTCCTGGTTGTCAGCAAGAATCAAAATTGTAAGAATCACTGTAGTAGCCGGTCACTCAAACTTACTCATAATGGGCTGGGGGTCAGATGTGGCAGGGTGAACTTTCGCCAATCTTGAGCTGAACTTTCGCCTTTTGCGGGGTAGAGTTTTGTGGCAAAGCCACCCCCCCAAAGCAGTAGCAGTAGCAGTAGTACTATATAGTAGTACTAGTAGTAGTAGTAGTAGTAGTAGTAGTAGTAGTAGTAGTAGTAGTAGTAGTAGTAGTAGTAGTAGTAATAGTAATAGTAGTAGCCGCAGCAGCAGCAGGTTATCTATATAACTTCCGCAGCTCATCTAACTTCTGAGTCACTGCCACCAGCTGTTCAGGAAGCAAATGAACATTCATACAAAAGTACATATTTAATCTTTCGCCAGATCTTTCGCCAAAAAAAGAATTACTCCGTCTTGAAAATAGATGGTTTAAAAAAGAAAATTGCGCCATCTACGAGCGCCAAAGTACCACAGTAGAATTGCGCCATCAGTAGGCATCCTGACAGTATAAAAAGGGCGAGATTTAGGCTTCAAAACCTCGTACTCGGAGACCCAGTTAGAAAGTAGAACTACAATAGCTGAATCTCTTGTGCAGAGAAAGAAAGAGAAAGAGAAAGAGAAAGGAACAGCAGGAGGCCTTTTGGCATGGAAGAATTTGGAATACTGTAAATAGTATATAGGAGCACAATGCCACTAAATACTGGTACTGGTAGACCTTAAATGTCATTTGTTTGCATTTTCAACAAAAGTGAACCCACGCAAACAAAACCAAGCAGCCAGCCCACAAGTACAATACTGTATCCCAAATGATGGATGGTAGAAGAAAGTTTTTGCAGTGTGGCATCACCGGCTGCTCATACCGCCATTTACAAAGCTCCGTCAATGTACAGATTCCTGCAGCTCTTGTATCTGGCATCAAACGCTGGGATTTGGGGAAAATAACATGCTGGCAGCATGTGCAGAGCAGGTGAGTGCTAGAAAGAGAAAGAGAACGAGAAAGGAAAAGCAGGAGAAATAGTAAGAGACAAAGTAGGATGGGCACCGATGGGCTTGAGTGGTGTTTGGACTGCTTTGGATGGCTTTGCACTGATGTGCATTGTGCCATCTATAGCGCGTTTTTTCGCTCGTTTTTGCCAGCTCATTTTTTCTTTCGTTTGCATTTTTGCACCCCCCTCTCCCTATAAATGCGCCATCTACAGGTGCAAAATAGCAAGGAAAAATATGGCGCATCTGAGAACACTCCCGGGAACCCTGACTTGTGCCAGAAACTCTCCGGGCGGTGTACTTTCGCCAACTCGAGACAAAAACTTTCACCAAATGAGATTTTGATATGTTCCGGGTCATCGTCATACACAATGTTGTCTAGCTATAGGACCTTTAGATCGACAACCACATCACTCACAGAGGTCACAGAAAATACAAAGGCAACGGCAGGGCTCCTCACACCACATTCAGCATCTTCTATGGATGTTCCACTTACTGCGCACGTCATAACCATGATTACCCAAAAACATCCAAAAACCATAACCCTGTGCAGTAGACCCTGGTTTGGGCGACAACATCTGCTTCGGATCCGGCCGGCCAGTCGTGCGGATCAACTCAAATCCAAAGCCGGCCGCGCCCGGGGCGGGGAGAGTTTATTTGCTGAGCAAGTGGAAACCACTGATTTTAGGTTAACATGATTGCACTGCGCAGCAAAGGTGCGAAGTAACCAGGATTGCCTGAAGCTAGCGGCAAGACAAGGGAAAGGTGTGCAGTGCACGCAATCTCTCTTTTTGACCTCTTTTGATCTAGTTATCGCAGGCGGGATGCGGCGTTCTTCTGGTAGCAAGGCACCGCAGGTCACTCGAAATCGCAGCCGTTGCCATTCGCTTGACACCTCCACTCCAAACCACTATATAGTTTTGACTCGTCTACTTCGAACCTATTGAGAGCCTTTGAAAGAAGCAGGCTGCGAGATGTTGTAAGCATGTGAATTGCACCATTGCAGCGGCCACAATCCTGTATTACGGCCCGGAGCGCTCACACCAGCAAATGAACGACACACACTCACAAACACTCACGCACACACACACACATTGAAGCAACATCTTTGACTTCGCAGCAGAGTTGGATGACCTCCGGTGCTTGCATATCATTACATATCTTCTGCCACAGCCTTCTTCCGCAGGTTTGCCCATCGCACAAGGGCGTTCTGTATGATCAATCTTACAACTGAAGCAGGGCAGCACGAAATCACAAAAACGACAATGTTGCCGAAATGAGTCCTGACCTTGCTGAGAACTCTGACCCTGGTCTTGTGTCAGCATTGACACATCTGATAGATTTCTGCTGTTGGAGGTATGTACTGATTCAACTACAGTACCTTTTTGTCGCATTCTAAAGGGGATTCTTGGACTTTGATCATGCCGAAAGGAGATGTGGGGTCTGCTATTTCTCTTTGCTTCCACCAGACACTTTGACGATGTCTGGTCGGTCTTTGCTCTGTGTCGCACTTGTGCACAAACGAGCTTCAGCGTGTTCACAACATGATTCGCAGTGCACATCATCTACCTGTGCGCCAATCGCCTTGCAGCTTGTACTGACGCGCCAGGTCTTCTGTCTGTATAAGAGTTTACGCTTCGCTCACGCTCAAGTGGTTATTTAAGTCTGTATTTTTTTATTGGAATTTGCATGTCCACAAAGCCGCAGCTTACGCACCAATTGTTTATGCAAAGACTTTCAAGGAGAAGACTCAAGCGGTGAATTGATGAACATCACCCGCGTGGCCCAACTGATTCGCATGCTCGGGGTTTCCTTTTGATTGACATCGTCGCACAAGCGAAACTTTTGTTTACGCAATGCTTGCGCGCGGCTGACGCACTTGTTCACGCATTTTATCTCCAAAAAACATGAGATTTGAATGAGATGGAAACGATAGCTTCATTGGAGCAACAGCACAGAACATAAATAAATATATATATATATATATTTTTAATATATGTTGCAAAGACCTCCAACGTAATCATGCTTGCGGGCGCTGCAATGTCACCACAAGCTTATGCACCTCACACAACCACAGTTTTACTCACATACACTGCTTTTATTTCCAGGCCTTACCCGCTCATGTAAGACTAACATGCTCAATTGAAACATGCAGCAACTTGCATCAACTTATATACAGCAAATGTTCCAACTAACCAGGCCGTAATTCAGCTTGAGTCGAAGAGCCAAGGTCCAATGGCAGGGCTAGGATCTCGGTCAAGGAGTTATACATTGCTTCGAGGCACTGCTCAACAAGGGCCTCGGCCAAGGGCGCTTTGTCTCTTCTTGGCAAAGCAAACAACACCTGATTCATGTTGAAGCCCTACACTACCTGCTGTAGAACTATCATTGAAGGATTCCGAGAATGTCTTTTGTAAATATTTCAAGCAGTGGAAGTTTGGCAAGGGCTATCTTAAAGAATGCAGGTCGAGCTGTCAAGCCAGGTGCTTGCATCTGCAAGAAGTCTGCAGAGATCAGGATGGCCACAACATCCTGTGATGTTCGTTCTTCCGGAAACTGAGCCCGTTTTTCTCTTACTAGGAGCGATCGGATGCTACTAGGGGCTCCTGGCATCGTTACTAGGAGCATGGACGCTACTAGGGGCTCCTGGCCTTACCTACTAGGAACAAGGATGCTACTAGGGGCATGTTCACCCGTTTTGCTCGTGTTGCGCCGTTGGATTGAACGCGCGAGCCGGTCCTTGGCCTCCAAACTAGAGACTTGTCGTGAACCATCCATGTACTCTACTAACCACTCAAAGACCTCATAGCAAAGATTGATTTGCCCATGTTCACAGCTGGTTTATGTGCTTGAACTGTTGCTTTGAACATCAAGCTCCTTAAACACACACACACATATATATATATAATATGTATTAGTTATAACTTAACTCATGATAAATAAAACAATTCCAAACTGAGTTGATCTCAAGTCCGGCGCCAAATGCTAGGGTGCCTGCCTTGATGTCACAGTGCACTGAGATTTCCACTTCATCATCCTCAGTGCACCGCTGTGCGAGACCGTGACTGCTCTGACTGCTGTGCCAACTAAAAGCAGCCTGAGCACTGGAGACACACCAGCGAGACAGGCTTCGAAATACCTGCAGGAGACAATAAGCAATCGGCGTTTCGTGACAATTGACTGCACTGAAATTGAAGGGATATCAAGGGACACAGGAGTCCTTTAGGAGTAGCAGCCTGGGTGAAATTAGATAAAATTAGCAAAGACACCCCGTTGTGAACATGGAATGAAGTTGAGCTGCGGTGACACCACTAGTGTCTCGTACACAAGATAGTGAGAGGTAAACGGAACACTCTAGCGGCTCTAGCAAACATGCTGCATGCCCGCAGAAGATCGCGGCATGTTTCTTCAGTGCTGGCGACCCCACCAGATGATGTCAATTCAATCGATGTCAATGGCTCAAAGGAATCCCCCTTTTGTTAGTTGCCCGGGATAGGTTGTAACTCGAAAAGTTCACCTCCAGGTGCAGCCCAGCAGATGCCCAGCACAACGGCGCTTGGGGCCAGGGACACGCTGGTCCGGTTGCAAAACGGGATGGATAGAGATCTGGTCAGAAATTGATCTAAAATCTAAAGCGCAGGAAACTGTGCATGATACATTCTGTAGAGATGCCAGTTTTTTCAAGTCAGCTAGAGTTCAAGCTGGCAAATAAAACAGTCACAACAAATTTTGTAGAGTGTGTCGTTATGTTTGCTTTTGTTTGTTACTTGTCGATCCGTTTGTTCACCATCTTTTACTTAGGAGGCAAGACAAAGGTAAACGCGTCTTTCATCCTTCTTCCCCATTCTTCCCCTGCCAGATCCACCATGCACTCCGGCGTGCTCAAAACCACTTTAAATAGGAACGTTACGAACGTTCACAGTTGTCTACAGAATCACAAGTCTACAAGTCAGCATTTTGTGGGTGCACTCAGATTTCCCCTCTACAAAATGCCAAACGCAAAATGCAGGACAAGTTTTCCGATAGAAAATTGCTCCAGTGGTCAACACGTCCCATTCTGTAGAGACAACGTGCAGGAGGATTCAAAGGATGCATATAGCAAAAAATAACAATAGTATATCTTGCTTCCATGAGCCACGCTCCCTCAAGAAGCGTCAGGACACAAACTCATCACATTTAAATGAAACAGGTGCATTCCTTTGTGTGCTGACGAACAAGCCAAGCGCTCTTCCGGAAATCCGAAGGTCCTGTATCAACCAACAAACATCGGAGAACAACTTCCCAAAGGTCCGGCAAAGGTGTTTGTGCATAGCTGTGCAGAAGTTCTCAGAAATCCACGACAGGTTCGCTTCTCATTCTGGCTTTGGCAAAGGCGCTTCATGTGCTCCAGCAGCTGCGATTGCTTGCAGTAGAAATCCTTTCGAATCTGCCGGATGTCATCAATGACGTGGATGACTGTGTCACCTGGGAGGCAAAGAATCGTTGCGTTTCGTCGCCATGTCACTGCTTTGTTCTACTTGTCTCCACTGCTTCATCAATATCACAAGCACTTTGTTCTACAAATCTTTAACTCCTAATCGGTTATGCACTTTTTGCATTGGGCTCTCGGTGCTTTCAAGCGCTAAGCTAGCCTAAATTCGGGCAAGAAAGCACCCCCAATTCTGCCTGACGGAGAAGCAGTTATTGATCAAACTTCGACATGCAAGCTATTGCCCTCCCAGCCTTTGATAGACTCTCGAGAGGCGTCATCTTCTTGCGGAGTCTGGCAATGAAAGGCTGCATGAATAGAAGTGAGATTTGACTTGCACAATGTCCAATGGTCAAAATCAGTGGTCAAAGATCGTTCCCTCACTGATTGCACAACATGTCTATTTCTCGGCAAAGTTTCCAATGTCCATCGCCAACCAATCTCAATCACTGTCACTCGCAAGTTTCTGATCTATGTTTGCGTTCGAAATGGGTTTTGCCCTTGGACAGTTGGACAGTTGTGGTGCCCACCCATTCATCAGCGCTCACCTCCAACTTCTTCTCAGAAGCTCGCTGGCCTCAGTGCAGCCGTCCGGTGGGTTACCCCCCTGGTGTCGAGGAAGGTAATCTTGGACAAGTCTCTAGAAGCCTTTAATCATGGACGCATATATATGCATATATCATATATATATATACACCTGCAACAGTCGGTAAACAGTTATCACTATTTTAGAGGAAGGTCTTTAATAACCATCATCAAGCCACTGTTACAGGGAATAGGATACACCCAAGTATTTATCATATTATGATACATTAGTGTAATAAGGATGTGAAGCATCTTCAGCGAGCAATAATGCAAAGTAGCAGCTTCCTGGACGTTCAGGCATCGGTCAAACTGCGGCATCAGTGGCAAACCGAAAGCTGGCTAACGTAGACAAATTGGATTTGATTGTGCTTTGCATGTGCCAGCGGCAAGTGAAAACTGAATGCATCTGCGGGAACTATTGGACTCAGATCCAGCCCCCCGCAATGCTTGTCTGAGCAAAACCAGTTGTCCGTGAAATCTGCAAGCATTCTCATGTTGCTTGTTTTATTTGTGGAATTGTTGTTGTTGGCATCTGTGACTACGGGAGCAAGTAAGAATGACGTCTGCTTCAGATCAGCATCTTTGCATTCTCAGCTCATCAAACCGTTCTGAACAAAACAACTAGCACATTTCAGCCGGCCTTAGGCCTAAAATGAAGTGTTGAATGCAATTAAATACAGTCCCTCCACTTGGCTTGCTCATTAGAAAAGAAAGTTGCCTTTCCTTGTGAGCCGTGAGCTCAGTAGAAATAGCTGATGGTGCAAGTGGCTGCCCACATGGGCAATTTCACGTATCACTTCAGCAAGATTGGTCCATCTTTCCTCTCTTTTTCTCTACGCACCAGATGGAGACACCCTTACAACATGCCGACGTCAACTACGTGGGCATAGTTCCATGTGTATGCGCACTTGACATGAGAAAGCCCCTTTGGGGATCCTTCTGGGTCAATGCCTGCCTTTTAGACCAGACTCAAAAAAGCAAAGACGCTGCAACACTTGTTGAATCGGGTCTCAACTGGACTCGTTGTACAAAAAGACAGGGCTTGGGTAGGCTGCTGCAGTGTCACAGCAGTCGTTAGCTCTCTTATCTGGAAATCTCTGCCAAGAAACATCAAAGATATCAAAGCCTGTACTAGCTCCTAAGCGTTATATAATCGGTTGAATAACACTGATCTTACATAGTTTCATGTCTTTGAAAGGATTCGACTCATTTCACACTTCTGTAGTGCTTCTCAATCCATTGAATCCTGGCAGGCAGGCTCCTTTAACTGATTAGATATGACCCCCACATCATGAGGCTGACATGGATATGGTCTCGTGTTGTGGAAATCGGAAGTCAATGCCAAAGCTGAGAGTACTGTGAGCAAGAATCAACAGCTTCGGTGTCCTCTTCTTGTAGATATCGGCCTTTTCCTCCATACGCTGCATCTCCTTCTGCAGCGTATCAACCTCGAAGGAGGTCCCGTACGGAAATTGAGACATGCACCTTGGTCGCGAGAAGGGTATTAGCTTATTGTTTCTACTAGCTTCTTGTTACTACTAGTAAGGCACCTGTTACTACTAGCGTGGCACCTGTTACTACTAGTAAGGGTACTTTACCATGAGCGTCTAATCGGGTCAATTCGGAGCCAACGACGAACGGAGCACTTTCGCAGGGCACTCTGGCGGACCACTGGCACTCTCTGAGTCTCTCTTCCCATGGGCCTGTCGTTGTGAGTTGGCCGCCATCGTCTCCAACACCTTCAAAGAAATACAGCATACTTCTAAATTTGTAGTCGCTTGGATTATGGTCTCGTGGGTACACAGTCTCACACTGGCAGTCCGGGATTTTCAGAAGTTTGCCAGCTGCACAGGCTGCAAGGGTGTTCATATACTTGCAGTAGCTTGTTCGGTTCAATCGTGACACAGTCCTCCTCTGCAGTACTGTCATATTTGCAGTATGCAGCTAGCGAAAAGGCACTTCTGCTTCCTTTGTTGGCCATGCTGATGGCCGATTGCATTTTGCATGCCGTTCACAGCACTGGGCGTGGGCATCTATTGCAACTGGAGCTGATCTCCAAACTGAGGCAAAGGCCCTGTAGTTCGTTCGGCCCGCCATGAATATGCGCAAGCACAACCTCACCATGCAATTGATTCTTGACCCGCATCGCATGTGCAACTCCCACTGCCAACTAGGATTGTCACACATCACTCCGAAAAGCTTAAGCCCACGACCATATGACCCCAAAGACCAAGACCATAAAGACCAGTAGCCAAATCCTGCAGAGCACAATGAACAAATCCGCAGGAGCTGCGGCTCTTTCAGCCCAGCCTGACTGTGAGGTCCATGACTGCTTCCAAGTATGTCCTTCGAGCAAGCCGCTGGACGAGTCTGTGGCTTCCTATTAATACACGAGCGGTGGTGAAATTGTCAACGGTGGATTCCCTGCCAATAAGCCCTTGGAAGATTTAAAAAGACATGAGGTAAAACCAGGCAATATCAACAGAAGTTGTCATTTGAAGGCCCATTCTCTGGTTGAGCACAATATCATCCAAAAAATATCGAATGACAATATCCATGTAGCGCATGATGTCTGGTTGCATGTTTTACGTCACATGTCAAACACCAAATTCCCTTCTCTTCTCACGCACGCGGGCAGGGTCTTTAAGCCAAACTCCAGATCAAAAATCATATGGCCTGGCCGCCAACATTTGACGAAACCACCGACAAATGACGAAGTGACGGTCGTCGATGGATTGGTCTCCGAGCATGCTGAAGCGGTTGTTGTTATCCATGCTGTCCATCTGATTGACAATACCTAAAACAAGTTAAAACACAAGGAGCCTGCTGAAAGAAGTAATTATAAGTAATTCTGCAGAGCGTGTCAAAGAGGCTCTGTTTTGACAGAGGCGAACATAGCAAAATCTAGTCACCTTCCCCACTCCCCACTCTTCAGACTCTAGCGGCCCTGCCTGGTGTTTGGTGCGAGTCGAAAGGCCCACAATTGGGCTCATGAGGGAACGAGGTGTTGAGAAAAAATAGGACCTCAGCCAAATAGAATTTGATGGACTATCGAAAGACTGAACCAAGGCGAGTTGAGACTCCAAGTCCGACATGCATTGATCTGATCCAATACTGACTCTTATGTAACCCAAAGAACCCAAAGGAAGACTCACTAACAGGCTGTTCTCTGAGTGACCAACGCCCAAGCAGTACAGCATTGCTCCGCAGCAAAGCACACGTTGCAGCGCGACCTGCCAGTGCAGTCGTGTAAACGAGCAGGAGGGAGCTACATGGAGCTACTACAAAATTCACCAAACTGCCACCCAGAAGAGTTTGCCTCCTTTGCTTTCCTTTTCAAATTGTTGTACTTTTTGATTTCCGCTGTGCTCTCTCATTCCCTGGGTCGCCCAACACGTAAGCGTGAGGAATCGGAAACAAAGGGCCGTGACCTAGAGAAGCGATGGCCTCCAACCTAGAAACGATGGCCTCCAACCTAGTTACTAGCAATGGCCTCCAGCCTAAAGAAGCCATTTCATTGCTCATTGCTCCCCAATTGCCCAACTGCTGCGCCGCCACAGGCGAGTAAACCAAGTGCAGGGCGTCAAGAACTTCAGCCTGGGGAAAGAAAGTCTGTCAAAGTCTGGTTCAAGCTTGAAGTCGAGTCATGTTGAGCATTCATCTGTTTGCCATCACAAACTGTCACAAACCTGGTGCTTTTATGCACGACGGTCTCCAGGCCACACCGGCCACACATGTTTTCAGTTAAAGATCGGACCGATGATCGTAGTACATATCATAGCATGTTCTCTAGATCAACCCTGGAGCTATGTAAATGTTGAGCATTGTTCTTGACAAGTTCTTGATTGTCAAATCCGGGACGTCAACAGTTTCAATTAGTGTCACAAGGAGTGTCGAGAATGCTGCATTAAGACCATCTTAATCGTAAACCTTCTTTGTCGGCCAATCGATCAGGCAAGAAGTGCACTCGTAGTATATACAGTGACTGTATATCTGCAAAGCTATAGCTGGACTGCGGATCTCCGAGTCGTCTTTGGGATTCCTCTTGCATACAAGACAGCACCATATGGACCATACACGAATCCTGGGAGCTCCTTCACACAAAAGATCGCAAAAAAATCAATAGATTATTGATATATATATATATATGAAATTGCTTTCCCACAGTTAATCAAGTAGTCAAAACAAAGGTAGTCCGTTTGCAAAATGGAGCAATGATGCCAACGTAGGCAGTGAATTGGTGCCAATGGTGCCAAGTCACTGGATGGAAAGCCACTTGAAATGCAACCAAAGGAGGAATGGTGTAAGTGCCGCCTCAAAGTTTGGTGAATAGAGTCAAGTGAGACGGCGAGAAGAACCACAATCAAGCAGAATGGATATAAGGACCGTACGTTCAGGTTTAACATTACATTACTATTTACTATTATTAAAAAAAACTTTAACATGTCTTTTACAAAACATTGTCATTTCTATGGTAGTTGTCTGCTACTACGATTCAACGACACCATGTCATTACACCTTGTTTCTCGCTACCTTTTCTTCTATCTTCTCGTCATGGTGTGTCATGGCATGTTCCACAGGAAGACTACGCCAAGGTGGCCATCACATGCATAGATATTCATAGAGTCTGGGCTTGGGACCACAAAAGGCATGAACAGCTGAGAAAACCAGATCAGCAGTTGCAGGTAGACGGTCTCAGCGGCTTCAGCATGTTCCAAAACTCCACATGCAAAGCGTTCTTTCCCTACGTTGCTTCGTGATTGTCACTTCCATCAAAAGCACAGTCCCTTGGTGTTTTGCAGCCAATCGTTTTCTAAACGTGGCTGCATCTGCCGGGGGGCCGTGGCGTCCACTGATGCATCTGCAATGTCAAACCTGCAGGTACTGAACATCATGTTGCATCGTTGCACAAGTGCAGCTTGATCGAGGCAAAACTCGGTCAGTTCTCTGGTAAAGTCCAAACACCCACAAAAACTGACAGCTCCGATGCCCTGTGTGTGTACTTGCTGTGCAACCTGATAGAGCACCTTTATGTACACTGCAACTTAGTCTTGCGAGTTTCATTCCAAATGCCAACTGTAAACGTAACGCAACACATGCAGGGTCAACGTATGTGTCAGGATATGTTTCTTTGTCTTTGATTACACATACCACTCCGGACTGACCCACTTCACCTGTGATTTTCAGATCCGCCTAGCAAAGCTGCAAATTTTGTGCAAGGGGTGATAAAGAAAGCAAAGTTTGGTCATTGGGAAAATTAGGAAAACACTGCAATGCATGGAAATGTGTGGAACATGTGAA